TGGTTCATCACGACGGCGTCTTGCTGGCTCGCGGCGCCAGAGTCCACTCGACGCTCTTCAGCGGCGACATCGAAGTCCGTTTCTTCGTCGCTAGGTGCTTCGCGGATGCCTTTGGGGTCGCGGGACAGTTTGGCTTTGAGCTTGGGATAGCTCAGAATGTGGTCGACCCCCATAGCGAGCAATGGGAATACGACAGCTTCCACGGCCAAGTAGAGCAGTTCGTAGCCCATCACGTCCGTGCTAAAGGCAGATTTTGGACCGGCCCCTTCCGTCGATTCCAACGTGACCTGGCTGAGCGTGTACAAGCCATTTCCGGCGCAAAATAGAGGCGACAGGCGCCACACAAACACGAGCGTGGCATTGATAGCTTTGGTTTTGGCGTTGAGGATGTTCAGCATCGTCGACACGATAAGCAAGATCATCCCGAGCAGCACGTTCAACAGTATCGCATACGTCTGCGACGACGCGGCGCTTTTCAACACGAACGACAAGACGTAGCAAAACGATATGAGGGCAAACCCGAGCAGAACAAACGCCAATACGATGGCTGGAAACGGAGACGTGGCGCAGGCTTTGCAGTCCACGCCCGTGTACGGCGTAATGTCAAAGAAGTAGATAGCCACGAGGCCAGTGGCACAAGGCACGGCGTACACGACCAAGTCCCACGCCAAGTTGGCCAGCCAGAACGCTGGCACGCCCACGCCTGACACGAGCTGCTGGTGCTTGGCGTTAGCCGTCGGGTCGCGCTCTTTGACGAGGTACGGCACCACGGACGCAGTGTAGAGCGAGAACGCCAAGACGACGAAGATGGGCGCCATGAACGACAGCAACGTGGACAACTTGACCTTGGAGTAGTTGGTCAACGGCAGCGGCTTGGACGTTAGACGCAGCGTCAAGTCGTTGTTGCCCGTCACTTTACGGTACAGTGCTTCGTCCAGCAGGGCTTTGTGCAGGACCGACGCATGGGGCCCTGTCGTATTCACGGCGAGGTTGTACCCAAACAATCGGTCTGTCTTGGACCCGAAGATGACGTAGCCCCCATATTGCCCTTTGACGATGGGCGTGTTGTCGATCCCGAACCCTCGCTTCCAAATGTCTTCGCCCGCCCGCACATTAAACCCACTCACGCCAGACACGCTGAGGTTGGAATACGTCACGTTGAAAATTGTGGGCGATGACGACGGGTACACTGGCGCCGAGAGTTGCAAGTCGTACGCCTTGGCGTTGCTCAGCAAGGTGGTAGCGTCGCACATCCAGTCGGACTGACATGTAAACGGCACCGGCGTCTGGTCGCCGAGGGGGTACCCCCTCTTGGTGGACATGAGGAGGGCGGGATCGTTTTTACCCACAAAGGTCGACTTGAGCAGCGCGAT